CAGCCTCCAACCAGGGGTGTCTGCCTGGGCCCCGGTGTGCTGCCAGGCTGTGCTGTCTGGTGGCCATTAGCTTCATGTGGCCGTTCAAGCTTAATTTTCAGCGAATTAAAAAGATATAAAGGGAAACATTCAGGTTCTTGGTCACACCTGCCACATTCCAAACGCTCTGGAGCTACATGTGGCCGTGGCCTCTGCAGTGCACAGCACAGACGTAGAGCATTCATTTCCTCATCACGGGGAGTCCCACTGGGCTGCGCGGCCCCCGGGCTGTGGTCCCAAACAGCACCAGCCTCGCTGAGCTGCGTGGGGGTGGGAGGCCTAGGTAGCTGATGGGCCACAGCGGGCCGGCTCTGGCTCACTCTGCACAGAGCAGCTAGACCACTGCCAGGATTTTCCATGGGGGCATTTCGGCAGGACCAGTCTCCATGGCTAAGGATCATCCTTCAGGCTATGGGAGGTTTGGTCTCTGGGCCCCTCACCCGGATCCCGCGCAAAGCGTCAGCAGCACACCAGGCTTCCAAATGCCTGGCATGGACAGGCACTGACCATTCTCTGTGCCCCGCCCCCCACCAGCTGCTAAAGGCTCTCTCGGTCCCGGCCCCTGCCCACCCATCCTGTCGTGCAGATGGAGAAACTGAGCCCCGGGGATCCCCGGGTCCTCCCACCTTTTCCACTGCAGCGAAAGACAAAGCTTCTCATTATTGCAGAGAACCCCCCCTTTCCATCCCCTCCAGCCCTGGTAACACGCACTGAAAACCATGAACAATATCCCTGGGACACACACCACTCGTTCTGTTTTCTCCCCCCACACCCACCGGCCTCGCGCGCGCACGCGCCACACTTCCCTGCATTTTCAGGAGGCTCTGGGATGGAAGGCAGCCCACGGCGCCCCAGGAGTCCCGGGCCAGAAACTTCTTCTTTTGTGGAAGATTCCTAACAGGGACATGGGGAGCCTTCGAGGGAAGATTCTAGACTAGAATCCAGGAGGCCCTCGCTCCCTGCTTTGGAACTGCAGAGGGGCTGGGCTGTGGCCCCCTTGAAAAGCCGGCTTAAGTGGGGTCTAGAAGCTGCGCTCAGTGTATTTGCACATAAAACGGAGGTTTATGGACCCAGGAACAGCACAATGGGTCCGACCTACTCATCCAGTTCCAGCTGGGCAGAAGGCCCTGTGGTAGGCTCTGGGGCTGGACCCACACAGTCCTCGCTCGCATCCCAGCAGGGGAGACCCACAGTCAACAAACACTAAGGAAGTCTACAGTATGCAGATGGCGGTGAGCAGAGGGAGTGCGGGAGGGAGGCCGTTAGGGACATTAGGGACAGCCTTGTCGAGAAAGGAGAAAGTGACATTAGTTAAAATCCTGAAGGAGGTGAGAAGGTGAGTCCCATGGGTATCTGGGGGAGGACCCTCTGGCCACGGGAACAGCCGCGCCAAGGGCCCGAGGTGGAGAACAGGGAGAAGGCCGGTGTGGCTGAGCGGAGCGGGCAGAGGCGCGGAGAGAGAAGCGGGAGGCTGGGGAGGCCGCAGTGGGAGGCAACGGCCCGGGGAGGCCAGAGCAGTAACCAGGGCTGGGGTGCGGCGAGGCGGCCCAGGGTGGTAGCCATGGGGGCGGCCACAGGGTCAGGCTCCAGACAGACTCAGAAGGGACTGCCGGTGAGGGTCACAGGAACAGCTTCGCACAGACTCCGCGTGGGGGGCTCCTCCCTGGAGAACTCAGCCGGGAGCCCAGAGGCGACTCTGTCCTCCTGCCCCTTGTCCTGCGCCAGGTGGTGTTTGCCTCCTTTTGGGGACCTTTGCCCTCTGTCCTCCTCCCTCGAAGGAAATGAAAGCTTTGTCCTGGGTTTTGCTCCTGCTCCTTCCTCATCTGATAGACACGGGCTCTTCTGGAGGGAAGGGGATGGGGGGTGGGAGGGGGAAGAGGGGATGGAGGAGAGGGGAGGGGAGGCCGGGGGTGGGGATCCCTACAGACAGACACTTAGACCCCAAGGCGGTAGCTGCTAAGGGATTCCTGGGTGCTTGGGCAGGGTCACTTGGGGCCAGCAGGCCCAGGGAGCCCAGGCCTGGGGGGCAGCCCGAGGGGCAGTCTGAGCCTTGTCCCCTGGCCTGGCCTTTGGCGTCCTGGGTCAGAGAGGGGCTCCTGAGTTTGCCTGGCATTTAGAGGGTTAGCATGTTCGCAGGGGGAGCCTTGGGCTTTAAGCCTGTCATTTGGGGAGACGGGAGAACAAAGCCGAGAGCAGAAGAGGCGGACGGGGGGGAAAGCAGCTCATGCTGGGAGCGTTCCGAGGCCTTGCACTGCACAGCCCCAGGAGCCAGCCATTAGGCCAGGTGGCAGGCCTCCTTCCCCAGTGGGTGGAAGCAGCTGGCTGGGTTGATGGTGCCCCGGCGGCAGCTGGCAGCGGCCATGCTCTGCTGAGCCCTCCATGGCCCCCAGCCTCAGCCCCTCCTCGGGGCTCACGGGGAGCTCCCCAGTGTCTCCCACTCAGGAATCCGGGCCTCAGCAGGGTCCTGGGGCTCCCGTGGTCTGCCACTGAGATGGCTCAGCCACCTGCCTCTCCACCAGTGACATGGGTTGGAACGTGCTGGGGGTGGGGGCCTCGGGCAAGCCCTCTGGCCTCTCGTGCATCCTCTCACAGAGGGGCGGGGGCTGAGATGAGCACTCGAGCCCCATCCAGGCTAGACAGTGCTCCCGTGGGAGCAGGGAGGGTCTGTGGCAGGCAGGAGCCCCACTGGGGGCGTCCCAAACTGAGGCAAAGCAGAGAGTGTGAAGACTCTGCCCCCCACTCCCCTCCGCAACTGGGATGGCTGAAGCCCAGATGAGGTAGGACACTGGCCCGGGTCACACAGCAGGTCAGGCCTACCCCAGGACCTTAGCACACGATGAGCTCATTGTCTACAATCACTCTGGGTATGTTTCTGGTGCCTCTTTCCCTGATGTTTCCATCGTCCCTTCCATCCACCCTGCTGGAGGGAGGAGGGCGTGCACCAGCTCCCAGCACCTGAAGCATCTGGGAATGGAGGGAGCTGGGATTCACCTGGGCATTCTCCCGCCCGGGCCCATGGTCCTCACTGGGGAGGCAGGCACCTCGTCCCTGCCAGCCAGGTCCCTCCCCACTTAGCCCTGGAAAACCAGAGGTGGCGTGCCGTCCATTCTGACGCAAACACCGGGGCTGTGTGCAGGGATCTGGGACTCGAGCCGGGCTGTGTGCAGGTATCTGGGACCCAAGTTGGGCTGTGTGCAGGGATCTGGGACCCGAGCAGTCTCTGACGGCCCAGTGCAGCCCGCCTGACGGACAGGAGCCAGCAGAACCATCACTAAGTAGGGGCCTCTCCACCTGCCCTCCGGAGGGGCACAGCGCCCCCCCTGGGCCCTGTGAGCTCCAGGGACTGCTGAGGCCGGCACACAGGTGGAGTCTGATGGTACGGGAGCCCCCTCTCTCCCTGTCTTGACTCCCAGCCAAGCTCAGCCCGGTTTGCCCACAATTCCTGACGGCAGGACTCAGACACAGTGAGGGCCCTGCTTGTCCAGTAGAACCTTCAGAAAAAGGTAGGGCAACGGGTGTCTAGATTGGGGGGTAAGGAAGGACTGGCCCCGGGACACCCGGAGGTGAAGGCCATGTGGCCCATCCCTAAGCTTCCGAGGCAGCATGCCTGGGGCTGCGGCCCGGCCTGGACCTTGCTGCTGCCGGCGGGACGCAGCAGGAGAGCTCGGGAGGTGGCTCCATGGCCTCTCCCACGTTGTGACCCAGTGCCCTTCTGGGAGAGGCCGGGGTTATTTCTCCCCGGCAGAGAAGCGAACATGCCAACCGTGAGGACACTCCTGCCTCTGAGCTCAGCCCCTGAGGCAGGGGTGGGATTGGAACCTGGGTCTGGCCCCCCCACACCCTTAGCCTCCCCCCTCTGACCCAGGACAGGCGGTTGGGGGGGAGGACACGTACACCCGCCCAATCCAGGGCTCCGTGGCCAAACCGCAAAGCCCGGGGAAGCCGGCCAGGCCATCTGGGAAGCTGTCTCCCCTCCTCTCCATTTCTGGCCCCCTCGGGGTCCACTCAGCTTCCCCCAGACTCTCTCGGGCAGGAGCCAGGCCCGCCTGAGAGCAGGGGAGGCTGCAGGTGCTCCTGTGTGGGAGGCGTGTCAAAGCCAGAGGCCCAAGCTCCCCAGCCTGTGGTCTGGCGAGGGGGCCAAAAAGCTTTCCAAAGGCCATCTGAAACCCAAACGTCTTCCCATGACTTTGACTTTATTAGCCTGACCTGTTCCAGCTCAGCCCACAGTGGGGCTGGGTGGTGTGTGAGCATCTGAAAGCAGCCAGGGCCCGCCAAGGACTGCCTACACCCCAATCCCCCCCGCTGCTTCTTGTGTGTGTCCGCGGGAATCCCGTCCTCCCTGTCCCCCGCACGTCTGTCGTCTTCGGCTCCCCAGAGGGTCAGGCAAGCCTGGACAGGACTGCATGGTGCAGTTTTGCTGGGGCTGCCCGGCCTCTGGGCTGCCCGGTGGTCATCGAAATCCTGCAGGTGTGTGAGCCGGGAGGGAGAGAGGGCAGGCGAGGGGAGACCCCTCCCACGCCCTGCTTCTGCTCACCTATTTCATGAGCTAGAACTGGTCAGAAGGCTTTCCCAAGTGAAAAGCAGGTCAAGGCAGGAAGAGCTTGCTTTTTGGACTCCCTTCCCTGCCAGCATCTGGGAAATGGGCCATCCTGCCCAGTGGCCTGACTGCAGGGACCGAGCCAAGCTGGCATACCTGTTCTATGCCTCCCATACTGCGCCCACGGCAGATAGTTCTAGTCAATCCTTACTCTGTCCCTAATTCCAGACGCACCTTGAAGCTCTCCAGTGATGCTCTGGGCAGTCTGCCTGTCAGGCAGGCCTGGGATTCCAGACGGAACTCTGCCTCCCTGCTTTTACACTGGGTGTCAAGTGCTAACTGAGCATCTTCCTGGAAGCCTGTAGAGGGCCACACGGCACGCTGCCTGAGCCCAAGACTACGCGGTTGTTTTGGTGTGGGGGGGGTAGGTGTTGGCTAGCGACCATCCTTTGGTCAGTGACCACAGGATGGACCCTCTGAGTCTTCTGTCTACTCAGCTGGTATCTGTTTGGGGGGTTAGCAGGCCTGGAGTAAGAGCAGGGAAGACCCACGTTCTGGTCAGGGTCCAGGTCCTGGGCCAGGGTGGCAGGCCCGGTATGGATGGTCAGCGAGGGATGGAGCAGGTCTCGGCCTCCTGATCCGTGGAAGCTCCGCCCCGTGGGCACATCAGTAGAACCCCTTCACCCTCTTGTTGTCAGGGTCGAAGGGGGACTTCAGGTGAGCCCGGGCAGGGTATGTCACCCCCATCCGCTCCAGAGTGTAGTCCCCACTCTTCACAAAGTCCAGCGAGACCTATTGCAGGAGAGGAAGGGGTGGGGGTCACTTGTCACCTTGTGGGTGCTGGGTTCATACCCACCTGCCTCTTAGAGGGGGGCTCGGCCTCCCTTCCTCCCCTCTCTGCACCAAAGGCCCTCCTCCCAACCGAGGGGCTGCCCTGAGCAGGTAGGTGCCCTGAGTGGGACTTGACCGCCTGGGGCCCAGCAGAGCCGCGGTCTGGCACCAATGGGGTTTCTCCCCCAGGATAGGGAGGAACTGGGCTCAGTGGGGGATTACTGGGGTTTATAAAGTGTCACGTGGCAAAATGTGCCCACCGTGCCTGCGCATGCCTCTGTATGCACGTGCACAAGTGTGTTTATATGTGTGCACACCGCGCACATGCCCCCACGCCGGGATCGTGTCTGGGATGAGGGGAGAGAGGAGAGGAAGGGGTTCCTGGGAGAATGGTCAGGCGTCTGGTATCCACCCCAGGCTCTAGGAGCACGGGGCGCCAGCCCTGGCCCAGAGCCTCTTTCTGACCAACAGAAGCCTGGAGCTCCCGAAGTCAGATTCTTTCAGACAGAAAATACAGAAAGAGCCCCTGACCCTGCCCGGAAACACGGCCCCATCAGCAGTGACCCTGTGCGCCACTCCCACCGCCCCCCCGCAGCTTGGTGCAGGGGTGCATGCGGCGCAGGGGTGCCGGTGTGGTGTCTGATGAGGAACCCGGCTTCCCTTGGGGTGGGGGGGGGGCTCAACTCACCGGCCCGCCGCTGGGGTCCCGGATGTAGCCGTAGGCCAGGGTCTTGTCGATGGCGAACCCAAAGTCAGCCCTCCGGATGTGGCCCACCACTTGGCCGTTTCTCCAGATGGCCTCCAGGCCGAACATGGGCACTCTTCTGGAAGAAGCAAGAGAAAAGGCTGGGGCCCCGGAGCCCCCAGAGGGGGGACCTGCGCGGCCCCGGGGCCAATGCAGCAGCCCCAGGATGCCAGTGCACAGGCTCCCGGGGATGATCGGATGAGCGGAGCAGACCGCAACCAGGCTCTGCCTCCCATGTCTGCAGGCAGGCCGCAGGGATTCGGGAGAGGCCCACCTTTCCACTGGTTTTCCATTGACTTCTGAACGATTTAAAAAAAACCTTATGCCCCCGAGCCTTGCTTTCCTCTGCTTGGCTCTCTTTTCACAATAGGACGCATCATCTAGCAAACGTCCTTTTCTTTAGTACGCATAAGGTGTGAGTGCTGACTGCACGTTTTTGAAAATTCAGAACAGAAAACACACAGATCACCCTGCGATCACGGCTGCGCCCGGAAGTAACTGGGCAAGTCTGGGCGCAAATCTTTGCAGACTCGTCCCTCCAGGTGCCTCGTTCATGGTGTTTATGGAGAGCCTGACTGTGCCCAGGGCCGTGCCCCCCAGGAGAGGGCGGTGCCGGCTGAGCCCGGGGAAGCCAGGCTGGGACCTGATGCGGATGCGGCTGTGGATCCCCACCGAGCCGAGCCGCGTGGACAGGGTCTGGGGGCCTCTGTGACCGTCTGGGGAAGAGGCTGGGACAGACAGAGGGTCTATGGCACAGCCTTGCTCTTTTGTCCCACCCCAGTCCTACGGAGCACGTGCCATTGGCAGATGAGGAAACAGGTTCGGTGAGGCCACCTATGTGGCCCAGGGCCCAGAGCTGAGTGGCAGCTCCCTACAACTCCTGGCCGTGACCTTCATCAGGATTGGGACCTCCCTGGCTGTAGCTCCGGGTGGATTTTGCAGCCCGGCAGAGAACACCCAGGCAGGGCGAGCCGGGCTGTGGCCAGTGCTGTCCGAGCTGCTCCTAGTTCCAGGGGTCAGGCTGCAGGCGCTTTCTGGAGGGCCACGGGGCGGAGGGGGTCCGCAGACCCCTGCTCCGGCAGCGTCCCCACACTGGAGTTAAGCTGGTCCCCAGGAGGTGGACAAGCAGCCTGACAAGGGCCTGCCTGACAGGAGCTCGGGGAGAAGCAGCAGGACAATGACAAGCCACAGCTCCGCCCCCTCTGCCCCCACCCCCCCTTGAAGCTCCTGACACTTCTTTTGATGGCTCCAGAAATCTGGGAGAAGTGGTTCCATTTGTGGCTGTCAGCCGCAAATCAACCAAGCCTGGCCGCCGCAGTCCAGGAGACCGACGCTACTCAGATTCCTGCGGAGCCATGGTAGGACCGACACCAGCCTGGTGCTGTCATTTCAGAGTCGCTGGCCCCAAGTGGAATCCAGGGACAGCACGGGCCCAGCTCCTGGGGACAGATCTGAGCCACCTGCTCAAAGCCGCCCCCTGGGTGGGGGGGGCTTGGGTCCCTGCAGCGTGGGCTCTCCTTCCTGTGACTGAGTTACCCTGTCCCCTGGCACCCAAGGTCTCCATCTGGAAGTCGGGAGGGTGGCCCCAGCCTGGGCGGTGGGGAGGATGGAACCAGAACACAGCGGGAGGTTGCTGCACAGTGACGGGGATGCTGGGCCTTCAGCCTGGATCCACCCCCACAGAGGTGGCTCGGCAGCGGGCCTTTCTCTCTCCAAAGCCGTGTTTGAGGAGGGTGTGCCCTCGCCATGTCCCCTCGGGCCCTGCTGCTGGACGCAGGATCGCGGGCTACTCACTCATCCACCGTGAAGCACAGCAGGCGCCGGCGGAGGCCCTCGGCCCGCTGCTTCTCCAGGGCCTCCCGTCCCAGAAAGGGGATGGCCGACTTAAGCTTGCAGGTGAAGGCCAAGCCTGCCTCCAGGGGACTGTCATCAGGGCGCAGGTCGGCATGCCAGTGCCGGTAGCCTGTGGGGAGGAGAGCCCGGGGTCAGTGCCCAGCAGAGGTGGGGGATGGGCTCCTCTGAAGGCCCTGCAGGGCGGGGGCATCCTCGCAGGCAGAAGGTCGGCTGGGCCAGCCCTCAGCCTCTGCACTGCTAGCTGAGATGCTGGGGAGAACCCGGGCAGCACTGCCCCATATTCTTCAAACCTCCCAGGGAAAGCCAGGCGCTGACTCCCAACCCAGCTCTGGCCCCGTCCCCACAAGACCAGGCAAGCACCTCTCTCGCTCGCCCTCCAAGTACAGGTGTCAGAGACCCCAGCACCATCCCCAGGCCTGCGTGGAACATCGCGTTCATGGGCAGCGCAGGAAGGGTGTCGGGGCTGGGGAAGCAGGCATGAGGGGGTAAACGGGAAGCAGACTGGGGACAGGAAAGAAGTACGGGGAGGGCGACAGCCCCGTGCCTACAGCATGGCTCTGGGTGGCCCACCGGCACTGCGTGGCTCCCGCACACACCTTTCTCGATGCTCAGGGAGTCGATGGCCCGGTACCCAGCGTTGACGAGGCCGTGCTTGGCGCCTGCAGTCATCACAGCCTGGTAAACGGGTACACAGGCTGGCCTGGGCACATGCAGCTCCCAGCCCAGCTCCCCGACGAAGGACAGCCTCACGGCCCGCACCTGGGGGGACAGGGCACGGCTCAGACAGCCCAGGTTAAGGCCCAGCTGCCACTTACTGATGGACAGTCCCTACTGTCGCCATCCTCATTAGCTGGCCCTGGGCCCAGGCCGGCCTGCCACCAAGGCATGGGGTCTCCAAGGACAGAGCTCCAGGCTTTCGCAATCTTTAAGGGGAAGAGGGGTGCCAGCGGGAGAAAGTGGACACAAGGGTCCCAGGCCTCAACTCTTCTCAGTCACTGTGTGAGTGTCCTGGGGTGGCCATACCAAATGACCACAGACCGAGGACTTAAAACAGCAGAAGTGTGCTGTCTCCCAGTTCTGGATGCTCGAAGCCCCACATCCAGGTGTCAGCAAGCTGTGCTCCCTCTGGAAGCTCTAGGACAGGGTCCTTCCTGCCTCTTCCAGCTTCTGGGGGCCACAGGTGCTCCTTGACTTGTGGTTACTTCCCTCCATTCTGTGTGTCACGTGCCTTCTCCTCTGTGTCCCTGTCTTCTCTACTTTCATCTCTTATCAGGACACTTGTCATTGGAGTCAGGACCCACCCTGATCCTGGATGATTCCATCTCAAGATTCTTACGTTAATCCCATCAGCAAAGTCCGCAAGTTCCAACTAAGGCCACACTTGCAGGTTCTGGGTGAGGGTTGGGACATAGACCTCTGTTCTGGAGGCCACCATGCAATCACCACAGTGACTTTGGCGAGTCCCCCAGACTCCCTCTGACCTCAATTTCCTCCTCTGTAGATGAGGTCAGGAGCCTGGCTTTGTCTGTTTCAAGAAGCCCCGAGATGTGTGTGCAAGCGAGTTGCGAGGAGGTCGGCGGCACAACTCGTGGCCCACCATGGCTGCACCCTGTGGGTTCAGAGGCATCAAGAAGGGTAGCAGACAGGCGCTGATTCCGTCCCTGTGATTGCTCCCTACCCTGGTCAGCCTCGGCCAGATGCTGGGCTCTGAAGACAGACACAGCCTCTGTCCCCAGGACCCAAGTCTTAGAAAAGGACTCAGCCAGAAGCACAAGGCAGTTCTGTGGCCCCATGCCCAGGGCAGGCCAGTGCTGGGAAGGAAGGCACCTGCCTGGGACAGGCCCGGCTGCAAGGTTAGCAGAGTTTGCAGCTGCAGACAGGCCCTCAGGAGAGCTGGGGCCGGGGCACAGAGCTGGGGCGGCCACGTAGGGGAGGGCAGGACAGAAAGGCCTGCAGCGGGGTTGGAAGGACTTTATCATCAGGCTGCAGACATTTGTGAGAGTCACTTCAGTGAGACCTGGGCCCCAGGGGCCCGCAAAGGACCAAGGGCCCCCACCGCCACGGAGATGACAGTGCTGTTTATGCAGTGTCCCTGGGCTAAGTTCTGCACATTATGTCACTGGAGCCCTTCTCGGCCCCACACGGTGGCGGAGACCAATGTAAATAACATCCAGGGGAAGACAAAAACAGAGGCACTGGGCCCGGCCTGAGCACACGCATCTCTGATGGGGCAGCTGGTCTCCGGGCGCGTGTAGCTGGCATACCTCTATACCAACCAGGCCAGCAGCAGCATGGAGGCCACACCAGCAGGGGGCAGGACTCCCTGCCCGACGCCAATGACCAGGGTCTTGTCCCCGCTCGGTCGGTTTGCGGGCATGTCATTTACACACCTGGCAACGGGTTCCTGCTTCCTGGCCTTCAGGCAAGTCCTTGAGCCCACAGGTGAGGTCAGCCCCAGGACCATCCTTGAAACCAAAGGGACGTGGAGAGAACAGCGAAGTGCAGAGCTCACAGAGATGGAGGAGGTTATCCCATCATTGTCGTGAGCACTAAGTCCGCCTGTGCAGCTCCAGCCGGATCCTGTCTACACAGGAGGGGGCGGAGGCCACTCTCCCAAACACAGACCTGGCTCCTTATAAATCTGACACTTTAATCATATTGCTGCCGAGGGGCTGGATTCTGAAAGCTTTTGAAACAGTGAACATTTGCTCTGAGTTGCCATTTGCCCAGGCCTCTCAAAAAACTCAAAATTGACACAGAAAATGTACTGTTGACATTTCCCTGCTTCCCTAGTGCAAGCCATGGGCCCCTGACAAAGATTGCCTTGTCAACGGGGTTCTAATTTTAGACAGCCCACGGAGGAGCTTGGGGCTCAAAGCCAATCTCATTTTGAAACAGGAAAAATCAGTTTTAAAGCTCACCCATTAATGGCCCAAGATTGCAGGTTCATGTCAGACACACATGCTCCCAGTTAAGTAAGAGGGTCAGCGCTGGGGCTCAGCTTGAATTCACCAGTGGGGTGGGATAGAGCTATCCCAGGCTCTTCTGTAGCTCCCAGGAGCCCCACGAGGCCAGGGGCTGGTGGTCCTGGCTCTCCACTGCATCCTTGTGCTCGGGCCCAGCACACAGTAGGTGCTAAAAAAATACTTCTTGAATGATGGAGGAAAACAGGGGCAGATGGACCTCTGCTTCTGGCAAAGTGAGGGAAAGAGTCTGGGGAATTCCAGGTGCCTTTCTACATTCACAGAGTTACTGGTTCTCGAGACATCCTGCATTTGTCTCCACCAAAGCAGTGGAGTTGGGAGAGTCCTCATTTCTCCTGAGCAGGGACATGTAATAAAGGGAGAAAGCTGAGAACAAGGATATCTGGAACACGGGTTCTGGGTCAACCAGACTCACGTGGGTCGACCTCTCCCTGCCTCTGTGCCCCTATCTGATAGATGGATGAGGCCATTGCTTGTGATCATTGAGTTCATGGAAAGCATGTTGCCTGATTCACAGTCATCTGCCGGTAAAGACTGGGTTGGGTTGACTTTAAAAGCAAGCCCCAAACTGAGCCAAACCCCCTTGCAAAACAGAGCCCCTCTCTCTTACAGGAACCACAGGGCCTGGCTGGAGTCACAAAATCATGGAAGGTCATCAGGAAGGCCTTAAAGCAGGTTTTATTTAAACCCTTTTCTCACCCTAAAGACCCCCCAAAATACTGTTGGAATTAATAAACACATTCAGCTATAGGTTGTAGGATACAAAATCAACATACAAAAATCAATGGCATTTTTCTACCTTAACAATGAACAATCCAAAAAGGAAATTTTTTCAAAATTCCATTTATAATAGCATCAAAAAGAATTAAACACTTAAAAATAAACCTAACTATGGAGGTGAAAAACTGCTACACTAAGACTACAAAACTTTGCTGAAAGAAATGAAAGGTGATACAAGTAAATGGAAAGACATCCCATGTTCATGGATTGGAAAACAATACCATTAAGATATCAATGCTACCCAAAGTGATCTACAGATTCAATGTATCCCTATCAAAATTCCAGGAGTACTTTTTGCAGAAATAGAAAAATCCATCCTAGCATTCACAGGGCATCTCAAGGGACCTCAAATAGCCAAAACAATCTTGAAGAAGAATAAGGCTGCAGGACTCTCAGTTCCTGATTTCATAACTTACTACAAAGCTCCCATAATCAAAACAGTGTGGCACTGGCATAAAAGCAGACAAATAAACCAACCAGTGGAAGAGAAAAGAGAGCCCAGAAATAGATCTTCATGTATATGGTCAAGTGATCTTCAACAAGGCTGCTGAGACCACTCAATGGGAGAAGAGACAGTCTCTTCAACAAACGGTGTTGGGAAAACCAGATATCCACATGCAAGAGAATGAACTTGGACCCTTATCTTGCACCATATACAAATTTTAACTCAAAATGGATTAAAGACCTAAGTGTAAGTCCTAAGACTATACGACTCCCGGGAGAAAACAAGGGAAAGCTTCACGACATTGGACTTGGCAATGACTTCTTGGATATGACACCAAAGGCACAGGCAACAAAAAGCAAAATTAGTCACATGGGACCACATCAAACATGAAAACTTCTGTGCCTCAAAGGAAACAGCCAACAGTAAAAAGGTGACCTACAGAGTGGGAGAAAATATTTACAAATCACGTATCTGATGAGGGGTTAGTATCAAGAATACATAAAGAACTCCTACAACTCAACACCAACAAAACAAATAACCCGGCTAAGAAATGAGGAAAGAACTTGAATTGATATTTCTCCAAAGATGATCTACAGATGACCAATAAGTATAATGAAAGGATGGTCATTATCACTAATCCTTAGAGAAATGCAAATCAAAACCACAATGAGATACGACCTCATACCCATTAGGATGGCTACTATAAACAAAAACAAAAACAGAAAATAACCGGTGTTAGCAGGGATGTGGATAAATTTGAACCTCTAGGCCCAGCTGGTGCAACTGCTAGGGAAAACAGTGTGGAGGTTCCTCAAAAAAAATGAAAAATAGAATGAGCACATGTCCAACAATTCTACTTCTGGGTAGATGGCCAAAAGGATTGAAAGCAAGATCTGGAATAGATATTTGCCCACCCATGTTCACAGCAGCATTATTCACAATAGCTAAGAGGTGGAAGCAGCCCATGTGTCCACTGACAGATGAATGAAAAAATGGGGTCTATCCACACAATGGAATATTATTCAACTATTACAAGGAAGGAGATCCTGACACCGGCTACAACATGGATGAACCTTGAGGACATGATGCTGGGTGAAATAAGCCAGACACGGAGACAAATCCTAATCCACATTCCACTTACATGGAATTAAATTAGTCAAACTCATAGAGACAGAAAGTAGACGACTGGTTCCCAGGAGCTGGGGGAAGGAGGAATGGGGGTTGTTGTTTAATGAGTATAGAGTTTCAGTTTTGCAAGATGAAAAATTTCTGGAAATCTTTTGCACAACAACATGAATATAGTTAACATTACCGAACTGCATGCTTAAAAAAGGTTAAGATGGTAAAAACAGAACACGCTTTTCTCCGTGGATGGACGCCTAAAGCCCAGAGGGACTGGGTGATTTGCACTTTCTCGATGTTTGGGACACCAGGAGCAAGGGGGAGGCAGCAAATGCTGACACAGGGCGGTGAGGGGCCCGCTGCCTACAGGAGCAGCAAGCACCATCCCTGGCGACTGACCTCCCTCTGGGTCTCTTCTGCAAGCCCTG